AGAGAGAGAGAGAGAGAGAGAGAGAGAGAGAGAGAGAGAGAGAGAGAGAGAGAGAGAGAGAGAGAGAGAGAGAGAGAGAGAGAGAGAGAGAGAGAGAGAGAGAGAGAGAGAGAGAGAGAGAGAGAGAGAGAGAGAGAGAGAGAGAGAGAGACCACTCCACTCAAGACCGAGTGACAAATTACGACCTCATGCACTCACCTTATTAATGTGCCTCAATTGGTCAATGAGCGCGCTGGTGTTCGTATTGCTGATGAAGGAAGGCAGCGGCGACGAGAATTCAGGATTATATCGCTGCGCGAGTACGCTGTAATGCGCCACGGTTTTCCCGTAACTGAAATCACACGGAACATTGCAATTGTTATAAAATCGAATTATGAATTATGCATGCAAGTGAACAGATAGCTTTAGCAGGCGGAAAATATCAAACGGAAAATGTAAAACGGAAATAATACAATCTTATTATGTTATAATAGAGAGAAATATGAATATAAAATTTCTCAGAAAATATTCCCGACAATGTCTTGAACGATATACGGGCAAGAAAAATATTAAAGATATCGGAATACCACAATTGTAAAAAAAAGTGATAAAGAAACTATTTGTCAAAAATTTGATATGATAAAAATAATTTAACTTTGCGCACGAATAATTTCAGCTAGTATCAGCCTTGTGATATTGTTTTTTTTTTCTTTTCAATTGAAAAACTTAATCTTTATCGGTATTGTCAAGAAAGTAATCGGAAATTAGATTACCAGAGGCGAATGTGGGACACGACTAAGTATTTAAAGTCAATCAAATCAAGTGATCGGAGAAGTGCGGCGGTGTACATCGAGCGAGATGCATTTCCTTTCGACGCGAGCCCAGTTGCGTAAATCGTGAACGTTATGTACTTCGATATCGTGCATGGCTTCTATCTTCCCGCGCCGATAAGCAGTCGCCTCTCTCGCTTCGCTGATGCTTTCCAGCGTGCTGCCCAAACGAGCTTGTAAACCAGACGCGGGCAGACAGGCCGCTCGCATATACATTAGAATCTTAATGAGGCGCAATGTTAGCCATATTTCGGCGTCGAATAACTTAATTATAGTTAATGATGCGGTTGATATCGCCGGGCTTTCTGAGATATGTTCAAGTTCCGCGAAATGGCTTCTTTTTATCGAAAATGCGAAACGAGGAATTAATTCTCGGCCAAGTGATTACGCACACAATCCGAGTCAGAGTCTATTTTGATCGGCGCATTTCGCAGAAACGACGCAACGCGAGCGAAGCCGACCGGCGCATCCGTGTTCCATTCCGAGCGCAGTTATCATTCGCGCTTCTATCTTTCGCGGGGTGCTGACCGACAAAAGGGACAAATCGGCGCTCCGTTCATGCCGCGCGTTTCACGGAATACGGCCTTCCGTTTTCGATCGCCACGCAATTAACGGCCTATGAATCAATGAACCGGAAACAAATACATATCGGTGAATAATCCAGAAGCTAGCAATCATTTCGCACTGTGACTTTATAAGCGCAGCTGTTTACCATTGCATTATTATTACAATGAATAGTGCATGCACAAAACACGCGCTATCGTAAAGTGTTTACAAGATAACGCGCTGATGTATCAAATGAAAATTATTAATGTTATTTTCGATTTTAGCATGTTCGATTATTAATGTCGTATTAATTTACTAAATCATCACATCATATCTTTGCAATATTATTAATATTGGTTTATATAATTTTGTAATTTCCTTTCCTTATCCAAACATCTCGGTTATCTCCGCTCTCTTAACTTCATCTGTTATTTATTCCCGCTATTATTCCTACTATTCGTACGAAAAATTACACACGGGACGCCAAATAGGCGTTCCGAAGTATTCAGCGCAGCTAGATAGCCCGATAGCGAATTGAAATATTGCCGAAGTCGTGGGAGAGAGCCCGGCTCTCCTCGGTGCCTCCTGAATGCCGGCCATTCACAGAACGACCTCCTTCAAGAGGATCGTCCTTCATCCCCCTCGTCCCTCTTCGTCCCGCACGTGTCGCGCTTCTCAGTTTTTCCCGGCGCCACCATCTTCCAGCGATTTTCCGTAAACTTTCCTTTGCTTCTTTTCCGCCAAATTACACCCCACGGCGTCCCTTTTCGTGGTTCATATTTCCTTTCGAAACAGAACTCATACGAAACCCATAAGCTTTTTTTTTTTTTTGATCGATTCGTGACGCTTGCCAATTTTAAAGTGCAAAATATATCTTGATAATAATGTTTTTTTCTAAAACGTTAATTATTCGTTAATGAAAGTTTTATACGCATTATGGGATTTTGCTCTCGTTTCGCACCCCACCTGTCGCGCCTCTTTCTCCTTTCCCTTCGAGCACCTCTTCATCCCTAACACGAGTACAAACCGCTCGATCCCGACGGCGGTGAGATGAAGACCAGGTGAAACGAGCCGACAAAAACTGGTTTTCTCAACGATCGAACGCGAAAACTACCCAGCCGAGAAGAACGATGCATTTCCACTTCGAATGCGTGTACAGAGTATTTGATAATTGGCATTGCGGCCGAAAAAGAAGTAAAAAAACAAAAAACAAGGAGAAAACGGAGTATGTAATTTTGTATCCAGGAATATCGTTTCGAGCAAATTTCTTTTCTCGAAAACAATTTTCTCCCGACGCTCAAGCAATTGATACTGTTGTAAAATAAAACAGAAAGAAAAATCGGGAAACGAAATAAATATTTTTTATTCAAGAGTTTACGTCTCGATTTAATTGGCATTGAAACAGAAGGGAAAAAACGGAAAAACAAAATAAATAATTCTTCACCCAAGAATATATCGTTCAATTTGCAGTAAATCTTTTTTCACTGCAAATTGAAATATATCGATCGACACTTTTGTTACAATGAAAGCTCAAAATGATTTCGAAAACCATTTTTGCTCAACACCGGTCCATTCTTTTGTCACAATTAAAGTTGAAATCAAATTTTCGCTTATGCAAAGCCCATTTCGCGATGTCGAACGAAAAATACCTTTTCAAGCTTAACTCGCGGAAGACTCGGCTTTCAGTGGCCGTAACTCGGAAGTTCTTTTGACGCTTGACCCTTTTCTCGCGGGAGAATGCTCGGCTGCAAATTGGTCAAAGAGTCAGTGAATGAAAGAGAACGTGCGGGACGAGATGCGGCGGGAGGGGGATACCTTCTATGGCGTGCGCACAGATAGTTCAGCTGAGGCGTGCGCATCGATTTCCAGCCGAAAGAGAGACGGAACGTGCTTCGGGATGGATTAATATTTCAATACCGAGAAAGAGCGTCGGGTGATACCACCATTATTCCGCGGATTCCGAAGGACGGTGGAAGTTCATATCACCGCGCGCGCTATAGAACGCTGGTTCGATTTCTGAGCCACGTGCAACCGTACATCGGCCGACATTTTTTTTTCATTTTCTAAGAGAATGTATTTTTTAGAAACGTATTTTATATCTAATTCATATACTACACCTGGGAGAGGTCTCCACGCAATAAGTCTAAAACAAACTCAATAGCTTTCATGAAAAAAAAATGCCGGCTGTGCTTTGTATTCGAAGGATATGAAATGGAAACGTTTTTGAATCGAAAAAATTTTACCTCAAATATTTCCACATTCCATTTTTTTTTTCGGAAAGGTATTGTTAAAGAAGCTCAAAATAAGAACATTAATAGAATTTAAGAGATCCTCGTTGCGTGGAAAAGTCCGATAATGCGATCGAAGTGGACAGTCATTTTAAAGAAAACATTCAATTGAGATCAAACTGTCGTATTAAGAAATAGCTTTGTCCTAGAGTTGCTTTAACTAAGTTCATTACTTATAAGAAGCGTTGTCATGAGCGGATGAACAACAAAAAGTTCGTTCAAGTACGTGGCGGTCGGACGGTCACGTCCAAGCGCTAAACGCAACTAAATTAATCGCGGCTAATCTCTTTAATGGCCGGATACAGCGCGTTCTCACGATTGTTAGAAGATACCGATCATTCGTCGTAGAAGGATTGAGGGAATGATATTTCGGCAGAAACAAAAACCGGATGTCGCGGCTGAAAAAAACAAGCCGACAAATTAACCCCCTCTCTCTTATTAAAACAAAATTAATTTGACAAAAACAGAAGAATAAGACCTTAATTAATTGAAATTAATATCTTTGTGTATTATCGTGTTTAAATTGAAAATGAGATTTGTATAAAACTCGTCAAATTTATATCGAAAGATTTATTCCCGATAAAACTGAAAAAAAATTCAATTAATTAAAGTTTCGCTTGTAATTTAATTTGAAGTTTTATTTCAACTCAGAAATAAAAATCTTTGCATTCTATCAGATGTCCTGCAAAATTGACTCGGACACCGTGAGGTTTATCTTTGGAGCCCGATCTTCGGCTCGCTTCTCAAAGGGGAGCATTTTTACTCGTGCCCTCGCGACAAATGGACCGAACAGACTCTCTATGAATGACTCGTTATTCACGTTGCGCTAGAACATTGATATTCCAGTAGATGCTATCACTCGAAGCCACGGTATACACACCGTCATCCATTGGCACGTCGCGAATGCATTATTTATAACATATATCGTCCGCACGTTTCGTTCCCATTCGTCCAACGTGTCGGATAAACATATGCTAATATATCGTCCGCAGTGTTCGACGTCAATCGAGCGTGTCGATGAAGCTGCAACTAAATTAGAAGAACGATCGCGGCGTGATATGCGCGAGATATATCGATGACGCATATCGTGTGCGCATTCTTTATTAAGTCGTGGAATTGTCCAGTGTTGCATTATCTTTCAAATATTTATATTTAATTGTTTTCCAGATGCATATGAAAAAAAATTCACTGTCTCTATATTTACTAAAGTTTAAAGGAAGATTAGCTTGTTTTTAATCTTCGACAATTTTTGTTTATGTCTTTGCGATAAATTCTTTATAATGCTTTAGGATAATTTTTTATGAATTTTATTTTGGCTTCTTTCTCTTCCTCTCTCGATAAAGATTAGCAGTACAGAAAGAGATTTTATAATCGATCTTTCCTCCTATCGAAATAGGCTTTCAATTCAGCTTCAATTATTCTCTATTAAAAATGAAAGAATTTTAATGCAAAACATTTCAATGGGATAATTTTTCTCTACTTAGTTCACAGAATTGGAATATTTTATGACTCATAATTGAGGCGGTAAACGAAAAGCTGCATAAGCAAAAATTCTGGTTTGAAAAAGAAAACTGACACGAAGCTTGTATATAATTTTACGGAATAGCCGGAAGCAACTACAACTCCATTAACAGCTAATTAACCGCCTTTTCTAGTATTCCGCAACATAAAGTGAACATTTTTAATGTAACTTTTTTGAAAGCGGTGTTTCCGCTCGCGCTTGCTCCTGGTTTAATTACAAAGTTCATTCATGATGTTATGTGTTTTTTCTTCCCTTCTCATTTTCATAAATGTTACTTTCGTGCCGTAATTCGCATAACGCACGGTCTAATTAATCTCGTCATCTCGAGGCGCGCGCTTGTTTGTCAGCGATCTCTTCGCAAAGCGGCAGGACGAGAGCGAAATCGATGAATATGCGCGTGAGCGCTCGGCGCATCGTCATCGCGTTACGCGTCGACGAAGGTGTCGGGATTCGCGACGTAGTGCGTGGCACGGTATTCTTCCTCTTCCTCCTCCGCCTCGCACGATGATAATCCAGTCATCGTCGGGGAACTCGCTCTCCGAAGCGGGTATGCGATCGTCCAACGCGACACGAAGCGCCTTTCCAGCCGTATCGGGCGCAGACGATATACGGTTTCAGCTCGCGATTCAGATATCAGATTCCGCGGTTCATCACGATTGAACGAAGCGCGTGCGTGTGTCGGAAGCGTAGGACGCGAGAAGCGCGAGGAGCCGAGATTAATGGAAATTATTCCTGCGATTAGCGAGCGCGAAGCGCTGACCGCAATTATTAATGACGGTTCGTAGGATTGTCGAGAATTATATTACTCGGCCGGTGAATTTCCGCACCGTATTAAGTATTCGTATTTTTAATATTTTTATACGTTACAAAAGCTACAAAAAAACTGTGTAACACAATGATGAAAACTTGCAAAAATTTTAAAATGGAAACAACGAAAAAAATAATTTCAATACATTTTAATTAAAATTTTGAATTTAAATTTTATTAAATTTAAACTGAGTACTAATAAAAAATTGAGTACTCGACAAAAAATAGCGTTAAATTTTTTCCAACAATTTTGTAAAAAAAGAAAAACATTTAATCGAAAATATTGACATAAAACAAATTAAAAATTAGAAGAGAATTAAAAAAAAAAAACCTTTTCTTCCGAAGGTCTAAAAAAATGTGGTTTGAAAACGGTCGAAGGTAAGCTCTTGAAATTTTGTCCAAGTCCCGCAACCGCGCGGAATCAGGACTGAGGAAGACGCAATTTTACGAAACGGAAGAATGTCGAATACACTCGAACGATCGACTCGAGAAACGGCGCGCTCCGAGAAAAGCGGCGAGAAAATAGCAGGGCGGACGCGATCTTGCGACATCGTGACCTCGTGGCTGCCGAGATGTTTGGCTGCGTCGCAGCCTGCATTACGTCGTACGTATACGAATGCCTGGCAAATCCGTGTTATCCGTGTACATGCGTACTAACACACGCGTCAGGTACCCGGCCGCGACGCTACGGCGCCCGTTTGCTCTCGTTGCCAGACTCTTTGGCGGCTCGGCGTCCTACAGGCTACGCCGCGCGTTTCCCTCCTCACCGACCATCCCTCCCGCACCGATACGTCTTCCTCTTTCCTCTTAGCTGCGTTTTCTCTTCGCAATTCCTTCGACTTCCCGCCCTTTTCGCACCATTTCCAACGATGTCGCCCTCGCGACGTCCAAAAGTCTCTTCAAAGAATGATAAAGTTCTATCCTTTCGAACTCTCCCAGCCCCTTTTCTCCGCTCCGTTGAAATCGTCCAACTGAATCTATTATAGTCGCGCTATTATATAAATACGATCCGTATTATATCGCCCTATAAAGATGTTGTCATCGACCGATGAAGAAATTGCTCTGGATCGCGCCTCGTGATATCTAATTCCGTTCGTTCTGTTAATCTTTCATAACATCGCATTGACAATTAGTTCTTATTCCTAAATATACCCGCGATAAATTAATAAAAATTGTCATTGCAATCTAAGATATTTTTTGCACAGGTTTCATCAATATATATGTACATCAAAATAATTAATAAAAAATTAAACTATTAAAAATTAAATTAATTAAACTAACTTGTTAAACTAGGAAAGGAAAATTGTGTGCTATGTAAAGATTGGACAAAGATAGTTTCACTGAATAATAAAATTAATTAAAACTAATTAAAGTAATAATAATTTTATTGTTCAGTGAAACTATCTTTGTCCAACCTTTACATGGCATAAAATTTTCCTTTTTCAGTTTAATAAGTTAATCAAATAAAATTAAACTCGGTTTAATTAAATTAATTTTTAATACATAGTTTAATTTTGTTTAGTTTAATTAGTTTAATTTTATTTATTATTTTAAATGTTTTTATATACATTGATGATATCAAAATAATTAATAAAAAATAAAACCATTAGAAATTAAATTAATTAAACTAACTTGTTAAACTAAGAAAGAAAAATTTTGCGTTATGTAAAGATTGGACACAGATAGTTTCACTGAATAATAAAATTAATTAAAATATTAAAGTAATAATAATTTTATTGTTCAGTGAAACTATCTTTGTCCAATTTTTACATAACATGAAATTTTAATTAAACTTAATTTAATTAAATTAATTTTTAATACATAGTTTTATTTTGTTTAGTTTAATTAGTTAAATTTTATTTATTATTTTAAATGTTTTGATATACATATACATTTATGAAACCTTCTCGAATAATTAAAAATATTTAACTGATGAGAGCGCAGCTCTTCTACTAACAATAAGTTACTAACAATAAGTTAATAAATAATATTTCAGCAAATGTAACATTTCAAACATTCTCTCATAATGCAAATCTCATTTTTCGTTTTTAATCGATACTCTAAGTGTCTAATTAAACTACATTATTTTGAACAGTACCTAATTATATATATAATGTTTTCCTATAATTTGCATAAGGCAGTATCCAGATTTGTTTAAATGTGATATCGATATTTCAATTTGTGATAACTCTGACGGACAGTTTACCGACAGCGAAGGGAAAGAGTTCAATTTATTATAACGACAATTAATTAATTTTGTATGTAATTCATCTGAAATTAATTAAATCTGTTATTACGCAATATGAATTACTTTTCGGAAGCCGGGCACTATAAATATCGCACGGGACTCGCTTTTCAATCAACCCCACGCAGAATCGAATTACATACTCTCGATCGAGGGCGCGAGAACGAGCGGACGGGCGCGGTTTCACTTTTCGCCTCCGGATCGAATCGTGCGGAATCGCGAACGGCTTCCTCAGCGGATCGAATCTCATTTAGATTTGCACTGTGAGATACTATACCCGTCCGAGAGCTCTTCCGGTGGAAGCCGCGGCACGCGACGTTCCTGTGTGTATTTATAATGTGTGCCTGTGTCTGTGCGCATGGAAGTGATGTGACCGCGCGGGGAACTCGGCTTCGCGTCGGCTCGAGTAAACCTGGATTTCGAGAGATTTAACGGTCGCGTCTGCCGGGAATACGTTATCGGTAGTGTCTTTCTCTCCTTCGCGATGGCTGCCGCTGCAGTTGGGACGCGATGCTGTAAAATCGCATCCACACGGGGTTCCACCACGCGCGCGTGATGTTTACGCGGAACCTCCGCGCGCGGAATGCAAAGAGCAGACTGTGCGCGGAAGGGAAAAATTCAAGATTCATGTGGAAGGTGTCGTGTAACATCTTAGTGAAAACTTTATTTCCGCCGTGGAGCAAGATGATACTTCCGAGTTGAGCCGCCTCGGGCGTTTTACTTAGTTTTACAATCTTTTGGAACACAGTATTTCCGCAGTAATTACTTCTCACTTCGAAAAAAGAATGACGCGTTAAATTATTATTTCTTTCTTAATTATCTTTATTGAATTTTTACTCGGCGTAACTGTTTTATTTCAATTAATTTATTGTATTTTGTGAAATATAATTTCACTAAACGCGTGCAAAATGATATCTCACAGACGTCAGATTTTCACAAAAGTAATTCTTGTCGCCTCAAATAATTCAATGTATTATTAATAAACAATACTTTGGATAACGTAGCGTTCCTAATATTCGCTCGTTATAACGCGGAATATCACCTTTCGCGTTTAGCCGACGTTCATCGTTTCGATTATCTTGCGAATTATCTTTCACGCAAACAGTTATACATTATCACCGGATCGAGTCCGGAACTCGCTCTCTCATTTCAACGCAACTCTCATTTCACGGTCGAATAGCAGCACCTCGAGCGGTCGCGGACAATGCGGCTTGTTAAAGGCCGAGAGCGCTCCTCTTCTCGAGTCGCGCCGTTATCAGCATTGTGGCACCTCTCCATTTACTGTCGCCGATACGAAGTTAATTAAGCGACGGAGCGCACGCTTCGATTAAGCTGTTAAATGGCGCATTATCGATCGCGACGGCATAAATTGCCGTGAGGGTGACGATCGCTCCCGCTTAAACGGACGGGAGCCGCGAAATTCGGCAGAGGATTGTTCTCGGTGTGAAGACACCTTAAGACGAGGCCACCCGGCCGTTGATTAATAAGGGTGCGAGAGAGCTACCTTCGCGTTCCATTCTCCCGCGCTCTTCATCGTTCCCGCTTTCGCGTCACGATCGTTCCCACGAAAGCGCATTCCGCAGAGCGGCCGCTCTCGGATTTTGAGCGACGGCAGTCTCGATTAGCGAATCGCGTTTGTTAACCCTTTGCGCGCCCATTTATTTCACCGACGTTCATTCGGCCGCTTCTCTCTCTCCCGATATCATTTTTCTCTTGTTGCAATAGCTCCGCGTCCGCCTCACAATGTATTTGGAGCAGTAAATTCGTATTTGTTGAAGCATCGCACGAGATGTCCCAAAACTCGCGATCTTTATTTTACTCACGCGAGTTTTTCGTCTTAATTTTATGCAATGCACAAAAGCTAGCTTCTTGACAATTCGCGGGATGTTAAGTCAATTCTGATGATTAAATTCTTATATCGAAAAAAAAGTTTGTTCCAAAGATCAAAGTCGATATCTTTAATTTGTTGAAAAATTGCTGAAAGATAAAATTGCCGGAGCAAGTGCACTCACTCTCCGATGTGTTCGCCGTTCCAGCAGTGTCTGTCGGGGTAGTCCTCGCAGATCGCGTCGGCCAGCGTGCCGTAGAAGATGCGAGACTTGGCGACGCTCGCCACGAAGTTACCCAGCTGCTTGTGCAGCTCGACGAGCGGGTCGTTGTTAAGCGGTAACGGCGGCGCAGCTGCGTGCTCCCTCAAATTGGGCGACACAGTCGGTCTCGCAGCTGCAGCCGAGGACGCCGGTTTCACCTCGCTCGACGGCAGCAGCTCCGGACGACCGCATACCTTCCTCACCTGAAACCCGGACACATCGATCCCGCCAATTAGAAACCATACGTGAGATTAAAATTCTACGAAGCTGCTTACACATTAAGATCCAATGTCGAGACGAAATCGATATCATTTCTGAATTAGTCATCTTCTTACTGATTTTACGGCACTCGTAACTCTTTGATACACAAATTGTTTATTTGTAAGTAACAAATTAAGTATTCGTAAATGATATATAAAATGTGCAATATACTGAAGAAAAACGAGATGCGATCCGGATGTGATTTAGACATAGCATTCTCATGTAATATATTATTCATAAATATTCATAAATATTCATAAATAAAAATGAAGTCGAAACCCCTTTGACAGAAAATTACGCTGTAAAAAAATCAGTGTAAAATTGCAATTATTATAGTGGAAAATTTTGGAACCAGCTATTATATTATAGATGTAAATTTTCATACGTACGTAAATTAACAGGTTGCAGGTAAAATTAATTTCTAATATAATGAAATAGGTTGTACAAGTAAATTCATAATTATTGCATGCAACAAACATATTCTCTCTCTTAATTGGTTCCAAAATTATCCATTATAATTGTACTTTTACACTGATATTCTTACAATGTATGATGTCGACAATATTCCGTATTGTAACCACGAAGTAAAAAAAGAACAAAAACACTATGCGATCGAAGATATGATTTAAATAAGAAATTTAATTTTAATCCTATATTTTTCTAATCCTCCTAGAAAAGTTGCTAGATAACGAGAATTGACTGTTACATGTGTTTTAGCCCGACGGCATTAAAATGAGGACGAAATACTTCATATCGGCTTGTTCGTCGAAACGAATTCGGAAGGGTTAACGGCCTGATAATCTTCTTTCTTAGCTAAGGAGAAATCGACTCGAATTATGGGTCGAAGAGTTCATCGGGATGAAAAGTGGCGCTCGCTAGGTGTCCGGGGAAACCCCGTATATCAATGCCATCGCCGCACCTGGCAGCATATGTGTAAACTCGGTGCACGCATAAAGATCGGCTTCGTAAGAGCTTTTGCCAGCCGTGGCAGGAGCGCCGCTCGGAAAGTGTCGCCTGCGAAACGACTTGTTCCCGTTTCCGAGCGACGTCAATTCCTCCGACAATTTAATAGGCGATGCGCCCTGACAGTTTTTACTACTCGACCGCGTCACGCCACGTTTCGGCGCGTTCACGCGTTAATCAAGACATACACACAGAGTGAGAGAGAAAGAGAAAGAGAGAGAGAGAGAGGTATACATGCACGTGCACATGCGAGAAATAAGAGTATTCTCTCTGTCCCGAAACTACCGATTTTTTTCTCGATGATTTTTCTAAAGCGTAGTAAAACACGTAATGACAGCTGATGATGAGGTTTTCATAGCGTTTTTGCAAGGCTCCGCACGAAATAGCAACGCGGATCTTTTTATAACGTAGTGTCCGTCTGAGTTGTACGCAAGGCTGAGACGGGCTTGCCAAAAGCGCAACTTTTCTCGTCCTCTTCTACACGTCAGTCTTGTATACACGTCTACGTCTGGATGTGCTTGCGCGCGCGCGCGTGTTTGTTTGTGTGTGTGTATGTGAACCTGAAGTAATCTAAGGTGCATTCACAACGATCACGTACAGCAACTCGCGATATTTTAGTCGGCTCACAAGTTAGAAATATCTTATTTACGGATCACGTAACAGTTTATAAACGTAATCACGGCGCAAATTGTCAAAAATATTTAAAAAAACACGTATAATTTTATTTTTGAAAAAGGACTGCAAATTTGGACTGTATCAAATATCTAACAAAGTAAAGAAGCATTATCGGCGATAAGAGATAAAAGCTTTTTCGCTCGAAGCGGAAGCTTTCTATCGCTATTGAAAAAAGTATTTTTGTTCAAATCAAAAGTAGTGTTTTCGCCTTTGCTTGGAATATCGATTTATCGAAAGGGGGAATTTTGTTTATAGCAGAAGCACATCTCCATTATTTCCTCTTCCGTTTTTTCAATCTTTTCTTCTTGTAGCTTTAAATAAATACTTTTTGCGCCTTTCGTGATTTTATTTTACGCGAACAGAATAGGTAAAAGGCTGAGACGAAAGTTGTATCTTTAGACTGACGGCACAGTTAGCTCGAGAAGCGTTTTAGATGCTTATAATTTTATAATTATCCTCTTAAATGTATTTCATGAAACAGCAGATAAATTTTGAGAATCTTAAATATCTCTTTCCCATAAAACACCTTTTATTGCCTCCTAGTATTCGTCATTAACACAATCTCATTAATAATAATAAACACATAATTCCTTTTTAACATTTTTCCGCCGCTTCCTATTATGATCATTATCAGTCTCATTAATCAGCATGATAAACACGTTATTTCATTTTAATGTGCTAAACTTTTTCATTTAAATTTGATTAACGCTTCCTCCGTTATTATCTATTTCGCTAATCAATCTAGCCAGAACGTGATTCAGATTTTATAAGATTATCTCTGTTAGGTGGTGATATTTTAAAACTTTCTATACTCCGAATCGTGAAGCGCAACACGGCGCTTTTTAAGTACCCCGCCGAGTCCCTCGCGTGAGAAGCTCTACATTTTCACGGCGGTGAAAGTCAGCCGAGGGCTGACATTTGCGATTTTTACTAGGTTGCGCGATAAGCAATAAAATTCCTCCCCCTCTCCCCCTTCATCGTAATCGAGATCGAGTAGCAGAAATCAAGACTGCGTTTATCATTTTATCTCAGCAGCGCGTCGCGCGCGTTTATACAATAGTCATTAAACATTATCGTTGACATCTCGCCCGCGACGCGTTCCCGCGCGGCCTCTTTCCCCGTCCTAATTACTTTTTAACGCGGTCCATAAAAGGAGCCCGGCCGAGGGGAAGGGGGACGGTGGTCGCTCGTCCTCGGACTCCTCGAGGCGGCATAATCGTAAAACCGGCCGACCCGGGCGTAATTAAGACTGCACGCGTGGGCGTTCAAACGTCGCTCGCTCTCTCGTCTCGTCTTCTCGGTTCTCTCTCGTTTTTCTTCTTATTCTCTCTATCCTTCTTTCCGTCTCCTTTGAGAAACGCGACGCTTCCCACCATCGACTCTCTCTCTGTTCTTCTGCTCGAAAAGCTACTCGACCTCGAAGTGGACGAAATAGCGAGCTTGAATACGCACACCTATCGATAAGATCATAACACCGTCCTACTGTGCGACATTTTGTAAAGTGTAGCCCTATGTATTGTGCTGCTCACAAAAGAATTATGACTCGCCGACAATGAGAATCATACAAACATATAAATCACACGTTTATTGTGTTGAACGAGCTTTGAAAGGTAAATGGCTCTTTAAAGAAAAACGGGGACTTCTCCGTGAAATTTCAATTTCAAAAGTGAAATGTCTCTGTTGGATATTTCAAAGCGCGCGTTACGCGGATAATGTTGATGTACTTAAAGTGTATCTGCGTTACAAATGATTCAAATGGTTTAATTTAATGATTTAATAGCTTTTTTATTGTTCTTCGTCGGAGACAGAGACGGGAATACGACATTCTTCCTAATAAAATGACCAAATGGATCATAGGCCAATTACATAATCCTATATAAAAAAAATACAAATATCCATTACGGTGATTGGATAAATGGTACTTAGAGAGATAAGAAAATAGAAATAAAATAACGGGTATTACTGGTATTATATACAAAAATAAATAAATAAAAAACCATCAATCAAGTATACAAACAAGCATTAAAAAAGATAAATATTCGTTGCAGCGAATAAATATTGAATTTATTGCGTTATCGAATAAATGGAATTTAGAGAAAATTGGAAAAAAATAACAGTGAAATAAACTTGCATTATTAATAAATTAAGAGGAACCAATAAAAATATGTATTCCGAAGATATGCGATAATTTTGCAAAGTACGCGATCAATCTTTTCGAATCTCCGGAAATCCGTAACTCTAGAAAAGAGCCCTTCTGCAAACGCCCTGATGCAATCTCGCTCGTGTAATTCCATCGTATGAGATATGACGTAACCGAGTAGCAAGGATTATATCGGCCCGAAAAGGGCAGATACAAACGGTACGATAAGGCGCGCGCGCGCGGGAAAAGGAGGAAGACAAAAGAACAAAAGAGAGACGGCCGGAATTGTAACCGGACGAACGAGATGACGTTATCAGCCCGAATAAATCTGAAGCGCGCGCGGAATCTTATCGGGGGGAAATTTCGCGCGCGTCCCCATTCACCTACACGCGAGGCTTCGCACTACTCCCCCGGCGCGAGAGCCGGCTTTTACCCTTGACCCGATCTGCGGTAAGTGGCGACAATGAGTTCCGTTTCTCGCCCGTGGGACAAACGAGGCGGATTAGAAAATTAGGATGTTATCGCTTAACGCCCGCGCCCGGCCGCGCTTGGCTCGCACACCGAATAATATCGCGGCGATCTCAGAGCCTGCATGAAGAACAATCTCCCGCGACGCCGGAAACTGGATATTCGTACGTGTGCCGAAAACAGATAAAATCCAATGCGGCGAATTATGGATAAAAAAAAGAAAAAACGCGAATGTATATCACGGAAATGGAATGAATTGAGAAAAGAATTAGCGCTGTGAGCTCTCGTTTAACTTCAATGTACAGAAACAACAGAAACACGACAGGTAGAGACAATAATCCGTTTCATAATTTCGGATTATCATCCGAAATTGAATTAAGATTGAATGACGCCAAGCGAACAAGGGATAAAAGTAGCTCGCTGATTTCGATCAAAAGTGTCACTCTAACGAGGATTATGATCCATCGGTCTTCCGCCGTGCATTCGGCGACGAGGGTGGTAATTGCGACATCGATACCGGCGCCGTGGATATCCATGTCGGCGATAAACTGTATCGATAACGGGGCCGCCGAAGCACGAGTGGATGAGAAGAACGCTCGAACATGCCCGTGAAACCAAGCACGATGAAACGAAGATCTCGTTTATCGGATAAGTCGAGGCCTCCTTTCGCAAAGATAGCAACCAGGTGGTTGATAT